CTGTCATAGGGCGAAAGGCGGGGTACACCCTGGACAGGTCGCCAGTCTGTCGCAGGGCTAACACATAGGGACAGACAGCCATTCACACTCACATTCACTCGCACATTCACACCTAGTGGCAATTTGGATTATCCAATTAACCTATCCCCACAAGCTGCATGTCTTTGGACGGTGGGAGGAAGCCGGAGTACCCGGAGAGAACCCACGCAAACTCCACACAGAAAGACCCCGGCCTGATGGTGGAATTGAACTCAGGACCTTCATGCGGTGAGGCAACAGTGCTAACCACCGTGCCACCGTGCTGCCCGCATTAAAATCAATTATTATTAATTATTATTAATCTCTGGCTCTCTTTCAGAGTGTGTCTTTTGCCCTGTCTCCCTCTCCTCACCCCCAATAAGTCATGGCAGATGTCTGCTCCTCCCTAAACCCAGTTCTGCCAGAGGTTTCTTCCTATTAAAAAGGAGTTTCTCTTTCCCACTGTCGCCACAGCCTTTACCTTATAATATGTAGTGCCTTGCGGCAACAGTTGTTGTGATTTGACAATATATAAATAAAACTGAATTGAATTGACTTGAAAACAATACCAATGATGCCTTCTTCAAGCATATTAAAGGCTGCCGAAAATGTCATCCTGATACCAAATGAAACAGACACAGAAGCAGAAAATGCTATCAGCCTTTAATCACCAGTGTGAATGTCAAATGTAGATTACACAGATGCAATCACCGTCCTCTGACACTGCAGCACCAGCGTGAAAAGCCCTTTTGTTTTGTCACATCTGCATGTCACCCCGTGCATGTCACCGGGGCGCCCACATCATAGAAATGGCCTCCTGACACGAGTTGGGGAAAATTCTTACCTGCAGGTTCCACTTTGTTTTGTTCCTCTAAATTGAGTACTTTTAATTGATGCTATGCCCACTAAACGGCAATTATCACAATTCAGTAAGTTTGAAGTTCCTGCGACTGCAAAAGCATCGCTCTGTTTTAGGAACATCAACGTCAGTACCGACCATTATAAACTTTCGCATTCACATAAAAGGAAGACATACGTGGAAGCTCTGAGTGAACCCTTAAAATGAGGTGGTGGTGGAAAAAAATGAAGACAATTACAGTGTGTGTATATTTTGTAATGCATGTGTGGCTGTGAGTTGTTTTTAGCTGGAAAAATAGTTAGCCTTTTAATGCTGTGCTGTGGCATGGGTCATGTTACAGACTTGTCCATAGACAAGAAAACAATAAATAAATAAAAAGGTGTATATTGCACACATGGGCTGTAAACAGTGTTATTTTTACACAAAAAATAACCCCCCCAAAATACACTAGTTCTTTTTCTGTGACTAAATGTGTGTAATTGTCACAAAATATTTACAGATTAAACGTTATTTAAATGTATGAAGCAGAATTGGCCAAGACTTAAATTCCTCTACATATTCCTCTATAGTGTATTATACTCCGTGGATATTTCCATTATTACAGCCATAACTCCATAAAATGTTTTCATGTCTGTACAATGTACATCAATGAGCTACAACAGAGGTTTTCATCACATCCTACACTGATGCTGTATTCATTTCCCTAAATAATGCATGACTTTTATAGTTTCTTTAACTTGGACATATGAGGCACAGTTTATGACACATGACAAGTGGTGGAAATGAAAATATGAAAGCACCCATTGTACACTTTGGATGTGTTTTGAAATCTCCCCATTTCATCACACTGAGCAAGTAGCTCTGAAGCTAACTGATGGTGACAGTGCACGCTACATACGCCAGCTGGGAGATTCAGCATTGTCTCTGCACAATAACTTCAACACAGCCATTTACCTCAAGGCATTGTCTGCAGATCAATGTTAATCCTTGATCTTAATCTGTGTCACATCTCTGACTCATTGTGTTGACATTCATTTGACTTGTTTATTGGTTTGCTTCGGGTCTCTGTATGGCCTCAGTGGACTTTTGCTATAAAACTGGACCACAAATATAATTTTATTGATGCAAAAAAAGGCAAATTCATCTGTACAATACTGACAACACCCTCGTGTTCTTAAACACATGGTGTTTGGCCAGTGTATTTATAAAAAAAAAAAATACACATAAGCCATTGAAAGTATAGAAATAATATCTATTTCGTGGCTTAATAATGCCACCTGCTGTCCTTATCATGTTTGATCATGTTTGAATGACATGAAATTTTGTCATCGCCTGAGAAAGTTGAGCCACCAGCAAGGAATGAAATATTTTGGTAGCTAGGAAGGCTCCTATTTGTGAATCTCAGTTCAAAGACAATGTATATAACTTCACAATGTTACTTTAATTTACACGATATTTTAGTCAATATCAAAATGGTTATTGCACTTTGGCAGTTCTAACCATTTTATGCACCCCTCCTGCTGTCCAGCTGACCTATACTGGGTAAAGCCATGTTCTATTCAGCTGGTCATGGCAGATGGCTGACCCTTCTTGAATTAATTGAAGTGACAGAAATGGATGTCTCACTACAAAACTTTCCTCTTTCCTCTGTTTAGGGCATAAACCTTTTTTTCTCCTGCCATAATTAAAAAGTACATAGTTATGAGATTATGAAAGCTACATATATTCAGATCATTCATTTGAGCAAGGGTGTCAAAGTTATTGCTTTGGTAAATTTGACTTCTTTAAGTCATAAAAGACATATTTGGTTATCAAAACTGCACTTATGTGTTCCACAGCTTGACACTTGATCACAGCAGACTCAATGATTTTTATTTTGCATTTATTTTTAAGCCAAAGGGAATACTCACTATCAGAGAAAAATAATTTAACAGAAAATAAAACATTTTGTTGTCTGGCAGTGTTTTAGAGGAGTAGTTTTACAGATATCTCAGAGTTTCATATTTTGGTTTCATTTATCATACTTGAATCATACTTCAATGAATCTTGTTATTAATCTCTGGCTTTCTTCCACAGCATGTCTTTTATCGCATCTTTTTTCTCTCTCCCCAGCTGGTCATGGCAGATGGCTGCCCGTGAGCCTGGTTCTGTCGGAGGTTTCTTCCCGGTAAAAGGGAGTTTTTCTTTCCCACTGTCTCCAAAGTGCTGGCCTATAGCGGGGTCAGATGATTTTTGGGGTTTTCTCTGCATGTATTATTGTAGGGTCTACCCAGTGGCGGTCCTAGCCTGTTTGGCGCCCTGAGTGAACACTCCCTCTGGCGTCGCCCCCCCCCTCCCCCCAACCACATAAAACTGTTGTCAGAACCATACTGAATTTCACCAGAGAAAAATGCGCACACACACGAACATGAAGAGAGAGAAAGTATGCATAGTATGCAAACAGCTACCAAACAGCCATCATAATTCATCATACAATGAGAACAGGACAAATCAACAATTGACAATGACTAATTAATATTAAAATCTGTAACATTATGTATTGTACTGTTACTATTTTTACCATTTCTTTTTGGAGCAACTGTAACCCACATTATTTCCTTAGGGATTAATAAAGTATTCTGAATGTGATTCTGATTGTTTCAGGATACATGACCTGCCATTATCCAATGACACATCTGCTTACCTCTATCTTTTGCTCATTTCTCCTCCTCTTTTTTCCCCCCATTTTTTCTAAACTGAGCACCTGATGGCTTTCAACTTTTCTTGTCCATCTTCCATTGGTTTTAATTTTGCACTCCAGTATGAACACCCATCCCCCAACTCGAGGATCGCCACAACATAACCTAATTGACCTACACCCTAGTTCACAGATTCACTTTGTCTAAGGTGTAATTCTGGAATTTCGCACAACCCAGGAACAAATCATGAATACATAATGGGCTTGGATTTACAACATTATGAATGAAATGTGCTCTATTTGGAAGCAGCCGGCCCCACTGCCCTGTCGACAGGTTGTGTGTGACTTTAAATCATCAAACTGTAAATTATAAATTTTAAATTGTTATTGATCCCTTTACCCCTGGTCCTAAAGTGTATATTTATTTTCTTACTCTTCTTATATTTGTTGTTTGCTTACTTGCACTGCTGTAACTGGAGCCTCGTCGTCTCGTCTCTCTATATACTGGACTGTATGTAGCGGAGATGACAATAAAGTTTACTTTGACTTCAGCAGCGAGCAGGCGCACCGAGGGCTCTCGTGCTCACTTTTCGCGTATAGAATTTCGAAAAAAACATCGATGCAAATTATAAGTCTGTATCATTATGTCTGTTGTTTTCGTGTTTGTTGGTTTGTTTTTATTTTGTTTTATTTTGCGAGTTGGTTATTAGATGCTGCTCCGGCCAGCCAGAGAATCCCCTCGCCGCCCCGCCCTCTCCTCCCTGTGCCGCGCCCTTACTCCCAGCAAATGGGCGATAGAAAACCGATCGGTGCCTATGCCGTACCCAATATGCGCTGACATAATGTCGGGGCAGCATGAGTACGAGCATTTTTTTTTTTTAATTTAATTTTTTTGCCGATGCCCGTGATGTCGCCCCGGGCAACCGCTCGTGTCGCCCGTATCAAAAGCCGCTACTGGGTCTACCTTACTAGCACCTTACTAGCACCCAATAGTCACCTTGAGGTGACTATTGTTGTGATTTGGTGCTGTATAAGTAAAATTGAATTGAATTGGAAAAAAAACAACAAACAAACAGACAAACTATGTATTTATCTGCACTTTTTTTTCAAGGCACTAAATTGGGTTCCACGTGATTCCATGTGTGCTTTCAAGACTTTCTACGTGGTATTTCCACCGCATTCACCAAAATCTGAAAAGCTTGTGACTTTTTGTTGACTTGTAATTTTACCAGATGAGTATGGCAATAGATAAACTAACATTCGTCTGTAGGCTATAATAAAACTCCCTCCCTTCAAATGCACAGGATAAAAAAAAACACCTGTCTTTAGAAAAGTGCGTGGGACATTGCGTCAACATGTGGGACAGGACTCAACGACAATAAAGAACAAATCTACACTTCTGTAGCGAGGAGATCTGTTATATTACGAGGGGCAACTGTTAAACAATTGCACCTGAATGTAGTGTTATTTTTAGCGTTTGCTTGTGGAGGAGGATGTTGCTGTCACATGACCGCTCCATCTGAGGACCAGGAAGTAAGAGGGCGGTGCTTCGTAGGGCTGGAGGGCTGAAAAAACAAGGTAACCGCTATTGTATTATATCTCTGTTAAAATGGACAAAGAGTGCATTTTGAATAAAAACCCTGACAGTGGTTTATACGAGTATTTCGCGGGTGTACGCACTCTTTTCGCCTGGTTTATGCAACCGGCGTCATTTATGCTAACAGCAGCAGCTAGCTTTGTCCAGCTAACAGACGCTAACCGACAGAGAGGACAGCAGGAAGGGTCACCGATGTCTCTGGGTTCGGGGCTGCAGTATTCACCAGCTGCCTCGAAAGCACGTTTATTTTAGTTTTTGGGGCACTGTGTTGTAGTTTTAATCGACGTCCTTTAAATATGTCAGCGTTAGAAATGCACAAAGACACAAAGCGACTATTTATGTGCATTGACGTAACCTCTTCAATCAGGGATATGAAACTAAATGTACATCTTGACCACCGCTCATTTTGATCTTAATTGGGCTTAAAGTAACACAGCGTTTCAGAAAAGGAACATCATACCAACAGTAAAATGTGGTGATGGTGGTGTGACGGTCTGGGGCTGTTTTGCTGCCTCACAATCTGGAAGACTTGCTGTGGTAAATGGACAGTAGAATTCATGGTTCTATCAAAACATCCTGAAGGAGAACGTCCGACCATCTGTTCGTGATCTCAAGCTAAAGTCCACTTGGGTTCTGCAGCAGGATAACAATCCAGAATACACCAGCAAGTCCACCCTTGAATGGCTTAATAAAAACAAACTTGAGACTTTGGTCTAGTCAAACTCCTGACCTGAATCCGATTGTGGCTGAATTACAACAATTCTGCAACAATGAGTGGGGCAAAATTACCGTAATCCACAGTGCTGTAAAACTTGCTGCCAGTTATTGCAAACACTTGATTGCAGTTGTTGCTAAGGGTGGCCCAACCAGTTAATAATAAACACCTTCATTTAGAAACTGAATTTTGTTTACTTATATTATCTTTGTCCAATATTTAATTGTATTTGATGATCTGAAGCATTTAAGCGTGACAAACTTACAAGAAAATGGTAAATTGGGAATGGGGCAAACACTTTTTCACACCACTATATATAAAATAAAGAAATCAGTTTTTCTAGTATCCTGATGACTTTGCACTATTGTACCTACTCCGTCTTCTACATTAAAAGATCTTTATGGAACTGTCTTGGAAAAGGCATTTTTAGTGTCAGTTATACTTTTTACCTCGATAAATACAGGATATATAAATGTGAAATAAATATAAAATAATATCAAAATCAAATAATTTTTATATGATACTACTTATCATTTTTTTTGGCACGTCAGTTATAGTTAAGGCAGTGAAATGATGTTACATTATTGAACTGCAGTGTGCATCCTGTTATTTCTTACCATTTGATACACAAAAATTTCCCAAAAGAGTATAAAAACCTCTTTGGGAAAGGCTAAACTTCTTTGGGGCAATCACCAAAATTTTCTGTATGAAGGAAATGATTAACTTTATTTATATAGCATTTTTCTTAAAAAGCAACAATGTGCTTCTAGGAAACATCCAATAAAAAAAACTTGCTTGGGCCAAGCTGCTGTGTTTTGGACCTGCTGTAGTCACCCAGGCAGTGACAGACTGACACTTGAATAAAATCTATTCAAGTAGTCCACTCAGGATGAAATTAAGGTGTGGATAACCATTCAAAGTCCCTAAAACAGACAACCAGCTTTAACTTTCCAAGTACCTGAAGTTGAAAGAAGCATTTATTTATGTCATGGTCTCTGTATGACAGCATCCATCATGACAGCCATAAAGCATGCTCTCCAGAGGGACATCTTCACACCCAATGATGAGCGTCTCCTTGGCATTGTTAACGTCTGCAAAGCAGGAAAAAAGAAGAAGAACTGCTTCTTGTGTGCTACAGGTAGTCACCATATAAATGGCTGTAAATAATGTGTAAGGATAAGAAGCCTTTTGAAGTAATTTTTTAAGTAATTGTTTTTTTTTGCTCTTCCAGTTACCACAGAGAGGCCTGTCCAGGTTAAAGTAGTAAAAGTGAAAAAATCGGACAAGGGGGACTTCTACAAGCGACAGCAGACCTGGGAGCTCAGAGACTTGACAGAAGTAGATGCCAAAGATGCAAGCAAGGTGAGAAATAATACATTTCTCTGACCTTTTTTTGTGTTTTCACTTAGAAAACATGTTTTCAAAGCTGATATTGTTTTTTACTTTTATGGTTTAGGAAAATCCTGAGTTTGATCTTCATTTTGAGAAAGTTTACCGGTGGGTGGCCAGCAGTACAGCTGAAAAAAACTCCTTCATTTCCTGCATCTGGAAGCTGAACCAGCGTTATCTGAGGAAGAAGGTGGAGTTTGTGAATGTCAGTTCTCAGCTGCTTGAAGGTGCGTAAATAAATACTCCACCATTAGCCATCCCTGTGACGGCATGCCTCTTGCTACAATTTGATTGCATTTGCTTAAAGGTGTGTCTGTTTATCTCAAACCACTGCCGTTGACACTAGAGTGCACATATTTGAGGTAATCTAATATGGAAGTGAGAATTCCACCTGGATTTTTCTTTTTAAGTAAAATTTTTAATGGCATGTTTTCAAAAAGATTCTGCCTCTTCTCTGTTTCCTGGTTTGTGGTATGGTTTTCTGTGTTAAAGTCTTTCTTTATTCTCACTTTTTTCTCTTTAACTTTCTCTGGCCAGAACTTCCTAAAGCGGAAGGTTGGTAGGACTTAACTTCCCCCTCCTCGTTCCTCATGTGTTTTCATTACATCAAACCACCATTCTCACCAGAGACTTTCACCTCCTTAAAACTGCTGCTATTTGGCTTGTTGTCCTTAGAAAGTAAATAGAAATGATTCATTTTGTTTGTCTACAGACATTTAGATCATGTTTTTAATCTCCTTGTTTCCCATGTTCGTTCCACATTAAAATGACTGTTTGTATCAAAATCAAATTTACATACTTGTCCTCTGGCCTGTAGCTGTGTATCTGTTTATATTGTTTTGAGTGCCATCGCCTTAGAGCAAGAGCGTGTTTGAATTAAATCTGCATGCTTCCCTTGCACCTGTGTGGGTTCTCTGTACCTCTGATTTCTTCACACAGTCCAAAAGCATGCATGTTTAGTTGATTGGTGATTCTAAATTGGCCATAGGTGTGGATTTGAGTGTGAATAGTTGTATGTCTCTATGTGTTATCCCACCTCTCGCACTATGACAGCTGGAATAGGCTCCAGCTCCACAACAACCCTGAACTAAAAAAATTGGAATGCAAGGACTCAGTTTTGGAGGAAATAACCAGTCTTCTCTTGATTATAATTGAACTAGATATCATGTGAACTTTGATGTGCACAGAATATTTTTGAAACACTCAGCAGTATACCTCTTTCTAGAAATCATGAGCCAATTACTCAAAAAAAAAAAACAAGCGTTATAAACAGTTTGATGTTGGGACTATTTGCTTTTTGCTGTCTATACTGACCAAGCACTCTTACTTCTATTTGACATCATAGAGATACAAGAGTAAAAAAAACCCTCTTAATTGAGCATAAATGTACTTAAAAGCAAGCAGGTTGAAGCATGAGCCTTTGGTTTATTGGGTTTTCTCGCGTTTATATACTGACTGACTTATTTGAAACCTTTCTTAATGAGTAGCCACATCTGAAAATCGTAGGAAAGTATAATAGGTCTCCTTTCATGTGTAGATCCTGTGTCATTTTCTTGAGCCTTGAGCATGAACTTCTTCTCATGACTATGTGTGTACTTCCTTTTGTTGGGTGTAGTTTAGCAGGTTGAAAATAGTTCCTACATGAAACTGCTCTTAACCTGGTGGGTACATTTTTTAAGTAATTGGATCATAATACTATGGAAAGATATTGATGCAGAGTTTTAAAATGTACTTATGTTGTTACCTGAGCTCCTCAAGGCATCTCTACAGCTGTTTATCTCCAAAACTGGGCAAGTCGCACTCTAGAGGCCAGAGTGAAAATATTTATATTTGATTTTGCTGTGAATTGTCCCTTTTCATACATATGGATATGTCAGTATATAACCTTAGTAATATATCCCACACTATTTAATGCACACCTGTAGTTTAATTGGAGCTAAAAGAAGTAAAGTACATTGTTAGTTCAGTTGTTTCAGCATACAGATTAATTATTACAGTAATTTCTTTACTTGGAAGCTGATAGACATGCTTCATATTTTCAACCTCCTGCCACTATCTAATATTGTTTTTCATTTGTTGCTCATAGTCATTCTACGCTTTCATCACTCATACATAATAAGTACAGCTTTACTCTTAAAACCATGAAAGATCTGGGTATCCCTTACTCAGTGTAATTGTGCCTGTAGATGTTCTTTCAATAATGGAAGAAAACTGGATTGAGTCTGAAGATGCCATATCATGTGTTTTGAACTTTGCCACTCTACTTATGTCTTGCACATGTTTTTGTTCTCTTCTCCTGGGCTTAGAGTCTGTGCCAAGTGGTGAGAGCCAGAGTGTTGCAGGGGGAGATGAGGATGCTCTGGATGAATACCAGGAACTCAGCACCCGTGAAGAGCAAGACATTGAGAGCATGATGGTGACATGCGAGTACGCCATCTCCAATGCAGAGGCTTTTGCTGAGAAGCTCTTCAAGGAGCTTCAGGTTTTAGATGGGGTGAGTAAAGCCAGTTCATTGTCCATTTTTAAGGGTGACATCTGTTTAATGACCTAAAACCACTCTCATTAATAATGAAAGAAAATGATAGTAATTATATCTCTTTATCTGTTCTTACAATAAGGCCAACATTCAGTCCATCATGGCATCAGAGAAGCAGGTCAATATCCTAATGCAGCTGCTGGATGAGGCACTGGGAGAGGTGGACACCATCGAGGGCAAGCTGAGCAGCTATGAAGAGATGCTCCAGAGTGTGAAGGAGCAAATGGACCAGATCTCACAGAGCAATCGTCTCATCCAGATCAGCAACACCAACAATGGCAAACTACTGGATGAGATCCAGTTCTTAGTGGTAAGAAGCACATTAAAATGTTTTCCAAAATAAGCAGCAAACTTTAAGCCTCAGTGGATCTGAGGGTATTGGAAATTTAAAACTTTTTGGGGAATGGCCATGTTGTTTTTCAGAGGAAGAAGAAGTAGTGAAGTAACGTACAAAAAGTCTTTTGGGGCGCCTTTTTAGTTCAGTTAATCACACGACAAGTAAAATTAAGGTGAAGCCACCCATGTCCACTTCATAGTCAAAGCAGACACACTCCTGATTTTTAGGACTTGATAAAGTTCAAAAGGTTGCGTTTATGAAATTCACTTTTAGAACCAGTCTAAAAAGGCCACTTGAGGATCAGTTGAGCAATTCTACTTTCAACCAAATTTAGATTTTGCTAGACAACGACACTTTGATTTGTGACTTTCATTTTGTTTTCCTTGTGTAGAACTACATGGACTTATCAAAGGGACACATCAGGGCCTTACAGGAGGGAGATCTGACATCCCCTAAAGGTATAGAGGCCTGTATCAATGCCTCTGAGGCTCTCCTGCAGTGTATGAATGTGGCTCTCAGACCAGGTAAGTTTAAAAATGACGTTTTCTTGATTACTTGCTGACTGGGTTGATGAGCCGGTGCTCTTTAAAAAAAACAAGTAATGAGATTAAAGTCTTGTTGTTTTCTTTCTGCAGGCCATGAAAAACTCATGGCTGTGAACCAGCAACAGCTCCTGTTTGCTGAACTGAGAGACACCTTTGCTCGCCGCCTCACGAATCATCTCAACAATGTGTTTGTTCATCAGGTAACAGGCATAGCTTGGTCAGGAATATATTTTCATTGTCTTATTCTAAACATTTAAAGAAGGAAAATCTCATCAGAATAAATGTCTCTTGAATCCCCCAGCACTACTGAACTGTGAAATTGAACAAGGTGTACTGATAACGTTGAAATTTGTTGGTTTCGTAAATGTTTGGCTGAACAAAGTAGTGTAAGCAGATTTAATAATGAAATGTTTTGGTATCCTCGTCCCTGGCCTGCTGTGAAATGGAGCACATCAGTCTATCCTTTGCTTTTCCAAGCTCTTTGTCTCTCTCTTTCTCCTCTACTGAGCTTTCTGTTTAGTTAAGACTTACTTCCTGGGCTTCCTTGTATCGTCTCCCTTCACCTATCCTTGATTCTCTGTGTATCCCACTTTGAATCATCCCACTCTGCTCTTTGTCTCTGTGTCAGTTCAACCACTTCAGTCACTTCAAAATGACCATCCCTCAGTTCTATAGGTCCTCCTGTCTGTCACTTCCAGTGAGTACCCTCACAGCAACCCCCACGTGCCCCATTTTGCTAATGTTTGAATTCTCACATATAACTCAAACATACATGCCATGAGAGCTCAAGCTTTTCACCATAGCACATTATGTATTGCATGGGATATATTTCTAACTACTGAACATCTCACATTTGATCTCAAAGCTGAAGAGGCTCTGTCCATCCTCCTCCTCCTCTGGCAAATGCCTCGGCTCAGGGCTCATTATGTTTGTGTGCTAACGTGGCTTCTTTGCTAATAGTCTCATCTCATAAGATGCTGTGCCTGTCTGCGTGCATGTCTTGAAGAGACTGAACAAGCTTAGGGGAAAGTGGGAAGAACATCAGTTCGGTATCAAAAGAGATGCAGTTCAGGAAGTTGGCTGAGAATGTGGTGGCTCTGGAGTGTAAGACTGTCTTAGATTATTTACTTTAACATCATTTGGATATCCAGTACACTAAGGTAATGCTTCAGATGATTGTAAGAGGAAGCAGGCCAAGTCTTCCTTTTGCATAACATGTGTTTGCGTGCATATATGGAAAAATGCATATTATAACTTTTCTCCTGTAATGTATACTTCTGGTGAATATACTGCTAATGATTATCTGTTCTCACTGTGATCTTCAGGGCCATGACCAGAGCTCAACCCTGTCACAGCACACAGCTGAGCTGACCCTGCCCAAACACAGCCCTCTCCACAGGGACTTACTGCGCTACGCCAAGCTCATGGAGTGGCTGAAGAACACACACAGGGAGAAGTACGAAGGCCTGTCGAGGGTCAGTGCAGTGTTACTTTGCGAAAATACTTGAGAAACAGTTTGACATTTTGGGAAGTGTGCTTTTTGTGGGGTTTGGATACTACAGCAGACATTCGTGAGCATCATAATACAATTAAATAAGCAGAGAGTGGTTAAAAAAGACTAAGAAATAAACTAGAAGCAAAGAAAAGAGGAGAGAGCACATGATTCTTAGTATAATATAATGCTTTCCTAGAATGTATGTTTTCCAAAATGTTAATACACATTTTAGCTGTAACAAGTCGTAAATCTTAACAAATATTCTCTCATTTTTTACAGACATATGTTGAATATATGAGCAAACTGTATGAGCGAGAAATCAAAGAGTTCTTTGAAGTTGCCAAAATAAAAATGGCGGGTACATCCAAAGACCCGAAGGGCAAGTTTGGTAAGCGCTATGATTCCCACGTTAAACTTAACATGAACTATGCTTGTCTTCCATCATGTAGTTCACTCAAAAGGAATGAATTTTGTTGCATTTCTTGACTGTTTTATCCTCTTCTTATATTATGTTCTCACACCTTTACAAACATTTCTGCACCATGCCTGGTACCAAAAGCATTACCAAAATCTTTTTAGAACAGGTCTCAGCTCTGCAGCCTTCTTGATAATCCCTCTAGACACTTATTTGGACAGTTATTTTGAAGCTTTATCTAATGATCATGGCAGCATTAAAAACTGCATCTGTAGAATCACCAGTTGAATATGATTTTAAAAAACAAAACACTTGAAGATTTATGTGCTTTAGCTTTTAAAATAAGATTATAAATAGCTTTTTTCCCCTGAAATTATTCTTATACCACCATCTTTGCTGTTGCAGGCTTCTCCATCTTATAATCTTATGCCTGCATCCAAAGTTTGTCTTTCAGTAATGTCTCCTTTTCCCTTTGCACAGGGCCTTTACATGCTTTGTTTCTCAATATGTATAATCTGCACAGAACCCCTGGATGAGCTTAGGTTTTGGCAGATTTATAGGACTCTGCTTTCTGCACTCTGTATTAGCTTTTCCTTCTGAAAACAAAAACAAAGACTTTGTTTTCCAAAGGTTTTTTCGAGCTACTACCTAAGTCACTGTGGTGCACGTCAGCATATGTGTACATCTAACATCTAGCCTTACCCCTCCCATGCTGCATGTATTAAGCCTAACCTGTGTCTGTCTTTGATGCCCGCCTTTCTAACTGGCTGCAGCTACGCTTCCGCGGAAAGAGAGTGCACTCAAACAGGAAACAGAAAGTAAGTACGACATTTGAAATGGAGCTGTTTCACTGTCAATTTTCAACTGTGCTTCTGATCACTACATGGCTGTACTAAAATGAATCCTCTGATCAAACCCCTTTGCTGTTCCAATACAAGCCATTACCTCACCCTGTACCTGGTTGGTTGGGCTAAATCATCACAGTACATTACCACACATTCTGTAACAAATGCCAAAAATCTAACCATTTAATTTGATGTTAAGTTGGATTCCTTCACTTTAGAATTTTTGGAAAACTGACTTGTATTAGCCTTCCCACAAAACATAGCCATTAACTCATACCATATTTGTTGTGCTACATTAGGCCTACATGGCAGCTCTGGGAAGCTGACAGGCTCTACCTCAAGCCTGAATAAGCTCACAGTGCAGGGCTCCAACAGCCGGCGTTCCCAGTCTTCATCACTACTGGACATGGGCAACATGTCCGCTTCTGACCTCGATGTGGCCGACAGGACCAAGTTCGACAAGGTAACACTACCAGAAATTTAAGTGGAGTGGAAATAAAGCAACATGTGTGTACATCCTGAGAAATTACATTTATTTATTTATTTATTTATTTTTGTCTCTGCAGATATTTGAGCAGGTCCTCAGTGAGCTGGAGCCTTTGTGTCTTGCAGAACAAGACTTCATCAGCAAGTTTTTCAAGCTGCAGCAGCATTTGACAGTTGCACCCCCTCTCGCACAGGTATTTTTTTTTGATCACATACTGGAAATGGCTGTAACAGAAAGATCAAATGTCATCTAAATAAATTATAATACTTCACAACAATAGCAGTGCTTGTACTTGTGTGGTAGCATCTGAAACTGGAGCATTTGTTTGTCCTGAAAGCGTAGAATAAAACAGTGATGACAGATGCTAGCGTGTTATCAGATCCAGTGTCATTCATATATGCATCCACAGATGTTTGTTTAGGTTTGTCATGTTTGATCTCTTTTGTCCTGTCAGCCAGAGACGGAGGATTTCGATGGAAGCTTGCCATCTAAAAAGCCTCCCCAGGCAGAACACAAACACTCCTTGTCATCAGAGTGAGTTCTTGCAGATCATTGCTAACATTTCTGATGTAATTTTTTTTTTTTTTTTTTAAATGCAATTGTTCGCTTCTTTTTTCAATTTCCAGGAAAGATATAGTGCGGCTGATGATGAATAAAATCTTCCAGAGCATCGAGACAGAGCTCAACAGCCTCATCGCTCTGGGCGACAAGATTGACAGCTTCCACTCTCTGTACATGCTGGTGAAGATGAGTCACCATGTGTGGACAGCTGAGAACGTTGACCCGGCCTCTTATCTCAGCACAACTTTGGGAAATGTGCTGGTGACTGTCAAGAGAAACTTTGACAAATGCATTGTGAGTAGTGCCTTTTTTTGTTGTTGTTGTTGACATCACTAAATTCAAGTCTGGTTAAGGAATATTATGTAGGTTTATTGAAGGCTGCCACACTATGTGTCTGTCTAATTTCTTAACTGCTTATCCAACTCCAGACCCACGAGCAACTCGGGGTCATTGGGGGGGGGCTGGAGATTATCCCAGCTGTCACAGGAGGAGAGGCGGGGTACACTCTGGAAACTCGCCAGTCAATCGAAGAGCCAACAGACAGAGACAGAAACACGCTCTGACATCCACACTTCCAGCCAATTTTTAATCACCACTTAACAAACACATCTTTGGCTTGTAGGAAGAAGTGAAAGTAGGTGAAGGAAAATCAAAAAGGCTGGAGGGATAACATGCAAACTCCACAAAATAGTATAAAAGAGGGACAAAGTTTCTGGGTCTGAAAGGTAAGGGCAACACAAACGTGCCTTAAACCTGGAGTCACTAAAGTGGTAGAAAGCCTTGCAGCTGGGTGACTGTGGGTCAGGAATGGTTGTGCAGCACGGCTACTCATGCCTGGATATTGCATTCAGTGTTGTGACACCAAACACGTGAGTTTACAATGAAGTCATAAAGGCAAAGTGTAGTTTTCTGATGCTGAGAAATTTATTTATAGCGATCTACTCCTCAAAAATCATAACAGTAGTATCATTTTGTGAAAAGGCCAAGCAAAATTTTACTCAGAAGTCATTTTCTGTGATAATCCAGGGCCTGTGGGAAATTACTAGTGTTGTTGTTTATTTGTTTGTTTTCAGTCAAAGGAGTCATTGCTGGGCTGAATTTGGGAATACATTTTAACTTTCTTTCTTTTCTTTTTTTACAGTCTAATCAGATCCGACAAATGGAGGAATTTAAGATATCCAAGAAGAGCAAAGTTGGTATCCTGCCTTTTGTCACTGGGTTTGAGGAATTCGCTGAACTGGCTGAAACCATATTTCGCAATGCAGAGCGTCGAGGAGACCTGGACAAAGCTTACGTTAAGCTTATCAGGGCCGTCTTCATGAACGGTGAGACCACTGATCATTAAGCAAGTTCTTATTTATTGGAAAAGGATCGTGTGAAGTTGATGTGGTGTCCTGGAATTTCTGACTTGTTTATTGTCTTCTCAGTGGAGAAGGTTGCCAATGAAAGCCAGAAAACACCACGAGATGTCGTGATGATGGAGAATTTCCACCACATCTTTTCTACGCTGTCACGTCTAAAGATTTCCTGCCTGGATGCAGAGAGACGAGAGGCCAAGCACAAATACACAGACCATCTACAGTCTTACGTAATCAATTCTCTGGGCCAGCCTCTAGAAAAACTGAATGTGAGAAGAGTTAAAGTGACCACAAAATTCAGTCATCTTTATTAGCCTGAGTTGGAGTATTACGAATATAAGCAGAGTTTCATAACAGGCAAACTGTCATCTCGCTTGCAGCATTTCTTTGAAGGAGTTGAAGCACGTGTAGCCCAGGGTGTTCGTGAGGAGGAGGTGAGCTATCAGCTGGCCTTCAACAAGCAAGAGCTGCGAAAAGTAATCAAAGAGTATCCTGGTAAAGAGGTGAAAAAGGGACTCGACAATCTTTATAAGAAGGTGGACAAACATCTGTGTGAAGAAGAAAGTCTGCTGCAGGTGAGAAAAAAACAGTTTAGGGGATTAAAATCATTGCATGCCTCTTCCTGCCTCTGAACTGTTGCACTTCCTGTCTATTCCTCTAGGTGGTGTGGCACTCCATGCAAGACGAGTTCATCCGTCAGTACAAGCACTTTGAAGATCTCATAGGCAGGTGCTACCCTGGCTCTGGGATCACTATGGAGTTTACAATCCAGGACATGCTGGAGTACTTCTCCAGCATTGCTCAGTCTCATTAATCTTGCTGCTATGCACCTTTCCTTAATGATTCATTACTGGCTCACACTGGCTGAAGATACACTAGCAATTTACAAACTACCATCTAATGCTTTTTGAATTAAGAACATTTCCTCTTTGTGTTTTTATTTGAATGAAAGGGAATTTGTACATAAGACAGTGCTAGGGATATTGCTGCATTTTTTTTGTGTGTGTGTTTCGTTGAGATTTAACAACAGCTCTCTAAATACTTCTTGTTTGTCATATTTTTATTATTTCTTGATGCCATATGTACATAATAAATTAGCATCTGCACAACCCCTCCTAGTATTTGTCGCACATTTCTGTTTGTTTTACCGTTAAGTCAGGGGAGTGTCCTTGCTCTCGATACTGGATGAGAGCAGGGATAGGACCAGTGGTGAAGTGTAACTTTACTGAAGTAAAATTTTAATATACTTTGTTAAAGTATATCTGTGTTATTTTGCTTTTTCTTTACAGTTGAATGCAAACATTGCATTTTGTACTGCGCACATTTACTTTAAAGGTTATACATCTCCAGCTGCATCAATAAAGTGATATATACATACACTTGGTAGTGACTACTTTTGCTTTAGGTAATTTATTTTTTTTATGCTAAAACTTTTATACTGTTAGGCTACTTGGTTATGATAACTACAGTGTGTTTAGGAAAAACAACCCATCAATGGTAATAGTCACCCTCCTACTGAATACTCTAGTATTAATTTAAGCAAATTTTTTATTGGTAATTTCAGTATTTATTTCCAATTTTTTGGTCAAATAAACTATTCATATTACAAAGCTAGTAAATAAACCTTTGTGAGCCAAAAAAAAGCAACCCATTAGAAATATAGTATAGTAACAAGGTTAAAATTAGATTAACCAAGTTGAACAAGTTAACAGGGCTAAACTGATATTTTACTTTTAATTGAAGATCCTGACATAAATGTGGCAAATAATACTCAGGACCACAGAAATGTTGTTTCTCAGTTTTATCAGAAAAAGATGCAAGCTGTGTGTTTTGTAAACCTCTGTGAAAGTCCAGGATAAATATAACTAAAAGAAGGAAATTACAGAAAAAACAAAAAGGTCGGCTGGGCCTATTAAACGTTTGTGCCCGGCGGTCTGTGACTGTTTTTTCAATGGTTTTCCAGTTCTTCTCTTCAGATGTTCTGATTTCCTGTTGGGTCCTCCCCTGCTTGATATTAGTCACCCCCTTCCCCGATCGAAAATATCTGGAAACGCCCTTGCGTTAATATTTACTGTTTGGGCTAAATAACTTTGTCGACACCACCCGTCCGCTTTCAGAACGGGCAGCACCGGTGCACAAAACACGCAGCTCCAAATACTTCCCCTAGACTCTTACTTCCATGGTGACGAATCCAAACCGGAGACCATCGGCGCTCTTTTCAAACCACTTTACCGCGGAAACGTGTCAACTCAGAATTGAAGATTGTCTAACACTACCAGAAAACATATATGATACGTTATAATGTGGCTCGTGCAAGTCATTGGTCAAAGGAAATGGAAACTTACTGTCGGTGATGTAGAATTACGCTGGACGAGCTAACGTTAGCCGCTAGGAAAGCACTTCCAGGGTAAGACAAGCTGTGATCGTTCTGGGATTTAACGCTAGCTCGTTAGTCGTCAAGCTTTGCTAACTAACAGGCTACTGCAGGCGACAAAACGACAACAAAAAGTTACCTCAGTGTTAATAAACGCATAAGGCTAATGTCTCTGATGAGCTAACATGCTTAATGTTAAACTTGCTGCTTAACGTTAGCAAACATTAAAAAGACTTGCTAACTTGTTTTAGCCATTCTATAAACTCAACACAGTCAATTATGAATAATAAACATTTTAGTAAATATCTTATGAATTTGTTTTCTTGGCTGTTCTTGCCACAGGCTAAATGTCAAAGTTGGAGTGGTCTAACTTGATTTGATACTTTATTTGGAGAGGAAACCTGGTTAAATGTGATCAGTGATAAATAAACCTGTCTTAACTCAGATGTGTTACAGCAAAATGTCTGCTCATGTTAAAATCATCTGGCACATTCAAAAAATGTATCAGGTTAAGTTACTTATTGTTTAACGCAATAATGTTACCTCCAAAGTAGCTGGCAAACTAGAAGACAGTGATTGTATTTTTATGTTTAGCAGGAAAATTCTAAAATATTTACTTGTGGGTTTTTTTTTTCATAGGTAGGTAATGTAAGTTCCATGCAGATTAATTGTGCTTGCATATGTAATCATCTTGAAGGGCCCGTTTTGAAGCACAAAAGTGTCTGGAACTTGAAGTTCCTAAACACATTTTGGGAATAAACATGACCCATTCTATGAGAATGTTTCTTTGATGAGTAACATTAAACCTATTGGAGGGGCAAACGTGTTTTAAATCTTTTGGGGCCTGTGTCCCCTGCGTATCCCCTGAAATTTACATTCATTTTTAGAACAGCAACAAACAGATGTGAGACAATACTGACATCCTTTTAACGTCATCTTATTTGCGATTAGGCTGATAGCAGTCACCAAGGTCAATATCGGCTCCCAACCATGACCAGCAATGCAGAAAGGAAGTTTGTTAATTTGCGAAAACGTCTGGACCAGCTGGGCTACCGGCAACCGTTGGGAATCGAGTCACTGCCACTTGTGGAGAAACTCTTCAGGTGTGAAACCTCTGAACCATGTACCCTCATTCTCTTAATATCACCATGTGGTTCAGTGTAGTTCAGCCATGTCTTTCTTTGTGTTACAGTGACTTGGTCCACACAACTGAAAGCCTGCGCAATGCCAAACTGTCAGCAGGGAAGTCTGAGAAAGAAAACCGAAACGTTGACTCTCTTCTGGAGCCATACAGGACAGAGAATGCCCGGTTGGTCAGGGAAAACAATGAGCTACACCTTAAGCTTCTAAAATTGAAGGACGAGAAAGAGCGTGTCATTAGTGGTAATAACTGCGTTATAATAAGCAAGCACTGGCTCTTCAGCACAGTTTGAATCATTTTCCTCATATTCATCACCTGCATACACAACAGACAACATTTTTTTTCCTGTCTGGCTCCAGAGCTCAAAACCAACATCAGAAAACTGGACCATGAGACGACTGATCTGAAGTTTTTAAATAATCAGTATGTGCACAAGGTTCGCTGCCTGGAGAAGGATAGCAAGGCTAAATCTGAACGCATTCAGCAGCTTCAGGAGAAAAACCTGCAAGCTGTTGTTCAGACACCAGGTACTGACAGGGGAGGGGTAAGGCCTAAACTCTTAGATAGTGGACTTAAAATGATATTCCATCTAGGTATATTTAATCTTGACCCTTCTCGTGCTTTTAACAGGTGGAAAAAAACGCAGTATTCCTTTCAGACGGCAGAGAATGCAGATTGACGAGCTAGTACCTCCGTCTTCAACATCAGCTTATCCTGTGCAGCAACCTGATGATCCGTACATAGCTGATCTACTGCAGCTGGCAGATGGAAGGTTTGTTTTCTTTTGTGACTGAAAGTTGTTGTAGTTGCTTAATTAAATTGTTGATTATTAATGTTTGTATCTGCATTTATTCTGTCTGACTCGCTCCAATTTTTGTGTAGAATTCAGGAGTTGCAGGAAGGTGTTGTCAAATTGAAACTAGACCTTGGAAATGCTCAAGAAGTTGCAAAACATTTAAATACTCAGGTATGTTAAGTGGGTGCTTGTTACGTTGTGAATATTTTAAGTTGTCATAGAGGTAATCAGCTCTATTTTTTAAAACGCACTTCTGTTAGGTGGAGGAGAGGGACAAAGAGATTGACCGCCTGAATGGCGCACTTCATGGCGGCCGACCTCATGACATAATTTCTCTTGAGGCTCAGAACATCAGCAACGAAAAACTAATCGCCCATCTTAACCTGCAGGCAAGCTCTACAGTCACAGCATAAAAGTGGAGTAAAGAAATTTGGTTTGAATGGTTGCTGGTAGTTTAGTACAATCTCTTGATATGTTTGTGTGCAGATTGATTACTTACAGGAGACCAACAGGACGCTGGAGCAGAAAATAGACGGACTGCAGCAGAAAAAAAAGGACGCCTCCACCGAAGTAGCCAATCTGTCTTTAAAGAACCTGGAACTGTGTGAAGAGCTGACGCACATCGACGACCTCGCAAAGCGAATGGAGATGGACAAAGAGCGCGTGCTGGAAACTGCTGACATGGAGCTACAAGAAACTAAAGTAAGCAATGTGATGATCCTGGAGTTCTTGGCTTAAAAGCATTCAGTGTAATTCATCCATTAAGAATGGACTTCAAAAAACAAACTGTTTTCTCAACAGAAAGAAATTCAAAGGCAGCAGAAAATGATCGAAGATCTGGAGGCTATTATCACAAAGACAAGAAGGGTAAGTAGTAGTATACACTGTTCTAACTCTAGATTTCCTACTTTACAGTGTAATATACCTTTTGCTTAAACTTCTATTACTTATTTACTTCAGGAGCAATCTGAAAGTGACTTTGAAAAAGATCGTCTGAGAGATCAGCTGGTGGAGCTCAAAGAGCAGAATGAGAAGATGGAGGGACTCGTGAATTTCTTGGAGGATGAGAAAAACAGGCTTCAGGACAAAGTAGAGAAAATGATGGCAGCTGGTGAGCAGCAGTGGAAATACCTCAGCAGCTATATATGCATTGCAGTGTTTATATACGCACTTGATGTTATATCCTAGACAAAGAGCTGGTGCTGGAGTTGGAGGCCATGCGTACTAAATATGGCGTTTGTGGAAGGGAACGCTCTCCGTCTCGTCTCGATGCATTTGTCAAGAGTCTAGAGGAGGAGAGGGATTACTATCGCAAAGAATCTGAGCGTTACAAAAGAGCCAGAGGAGCTGGCGGTGTTGACATAAGCCCTAGCCGTAGCCCAAGTAGGGGCAGGAGTCCTGGGTCCAAAGTAGTCAGGGTAAGAGTCAATAAAAAAGAAACTAGCAAATTTCTAATTGAGGTAGTTTCATGTTAAACTGATACTAAAGAACAATGACATCAAATTTTCAGGGAGGTGCTGCAGAAGCGGAGCTGCTTCGTGTAATTCAGGAAAGAGATGAGCTGAAGGTTGCTCTCTTGGATTTTGAGAAGCACATGGAGGACATTCAAAATAATATAAAGGCCCTGAGCAATGAAAGGGATCATTTCAAAACCCTCTTTAAACAAGTAAGTTTTAGATGCTTTACATTTGCACCAATAACACATTTGAATAAATCTTTTTGTTTTTACATGATATGATTCTGTTTCATTCAGACTCAGGATGAGCTGAAGCTTACCCGCAGAGTAGATACGTCGAGTAATGTTGTGAAACTACAGGAGGAGATCAAACGAGCAGAAGCAAAGCTCGAGCAGATGACGACTGAAAGAGACACACTGATGGAGAGGTTAAAGGTCAGTGCAAGAATACAGCCTTTAAATCTGCACGTGATTCTGATGCGCCGTTACAGCTCTGCAGACACATGCTGTGCACATGTATCTGCAGGTTGCACAGACTTCAGCTCTAACAGACAGACAAGGGGAAGAGAGGAGGCTTCTTAACCTGGAGAATGCTGTAAAGAGTGTGAGT